TTCAAGTCGTTACTTGGCTTTTTGGCCTCAACCAGCTCAGTATGACCGACGTTGAAACTACCCATCGAAAAGTCTTCATCTGGCATAACAAAACCAATAATTTCTCTGCTCTTGACGCTTTTCCGTGACATCTTAGTGATACGTGGGCCGGAACTGGGCCTAGGCTCAGGTTTTCGACCAGTTTTCGACACGAGAGACAAGCCTTCTTCGTCATCAGATATTACTGGGGAGTCGCATGCTGAGGTTTCGTCCTCGTTGTCGCTTAGCACGACGGGGGCTGCCTTGTTTCGTGTGCGTCGGCTTGGATTTGTCCATCGGCGAGGGGGTGTAGAGGATCTCCTATCTTCAGAAAGCTCACTGGCTGCAAATGCATCGTCACTCGGTACAAGCTCGATCTCTAGCTCTTTCAGGGCCTCAGGTTCATTATCTAAATCCTCCACGCGGGCCGCTTCTTCTATGTTCGGGCTATGAATCGCGATTGACTGGTCATTAGGCTCCTCCACGGAGTGATGAGGCTCACTTGGCTTAGCTAAGTCTTGTCGCTTTTTCGAAGCGATCGTTTTTGTTATAGTCCTTTCAGCAGCTTCGGATTCTTCTGGAATCGAGGCAGCATGGGCGATGGTATGCGATGTCCTTTGTATGTCGCTTCCAGCTCCTGATGAGGGGGGGGCTGATCTTCCTGCTGAGCATGGTCGACTTCCTTCTTTCTTTTGAGCTAACATGAGCAGCCCGCGCCGCTGCCTTGATCTGATCCTGAGCTCTGTCCGCGGTTCCTTCGCAGAAGGAGGTTTGTCCGTATCGGTTTCTGTGGCGGATGCTGTACCGGTACTCAATGTTCGCTTCTTTCCCTGGTGTTCCGCTGTGCTTGTCTCTTTTCTTCTGGTCGTTCTTGGAACAGCGCTCTGGGGGCCGATTCGGGAAGTCTTTGGATGCGATAATGCCTCCACATCCTCATCTTCACCTTCGTCGACAATGATGGGTTCTTGGATGACCTTCCGGGTAGACACCTTTACAGACCTTTGGACTGCTGGGACAGGATCGCCCTTTGTCTTCTTCGGGCGTGGTGGGTGGTTGTCCGCAGGTGGTACTGGTGCTCGGTCTATGGCTGGAGGATCCTCACTGTCAGCCAACCAAATGAGAAATGCTTCGTCGTCGACTGCTGGCGATACTTCATCGCCTTTGTCAGATTCAATTGCTTTGGAAGGTTGTGCAGATGTTCGGGTTTTAGACGGTCTGTCTGCATTGGATTCGTGATGTCCTCGGCCTTTCCGTGAGCTGTCCGCGGCTGCATCACTACGATGTTTGGGTGCTAGGGGCTCTTGGGTGAGAAGTGAAACAACTTCATCTTCGGGGGGCAGTTGTCGAGATTTCACAGGCTTTGAGGTTTTCGTACGATTCTCCGACAGAGGCTCTCGAGTCCGAGGAGGTTCGCTAGTTTGGTTGTGCTCATTGCCTGCCAGCAGCTCCTTTAACGATGCCCGCTGTGTAAGAACTCGGCGGGGTGCAGCCTGGCGAGGAGCGCTGGTCTGCGCCTCTTCAGGGTTAGAAGAAGGTGGTGGTGATTTTGAGCTTCTATCAGCACGCCTTGATGTGCCATCTCGTGAGCCAGGTGGTGCGGCCTTTGGCCTTGCTGCAGCTCTGTCGTGCAATGTTTGACTTCGAGCTGAGGTTATTGAAGACGATAACGGAGTGAGAGTTAGGGTCGTTCCAAATAGAGCCCGAGCATGCCCCATCTTACTCGGAGGCGACTCCTCTCGTCTTCTCCTTTTGCTCGGCCGTGCGTCTTCTGAGGGCGAATTTTGCTGCTGACCTGGACTCTCGGCCATCTTGCGCTGTTCAAATGGTGAGTGGGGTGAAATGACGGCCCTCCCAATTCTCGAAGCTCCTCCAACAAGATCATTAAGCGGGCGATGTCTGAGTTGAAAATGGGGGGCATTTTGTTCGTTTCTTGGTGTTTGAGTTACCGCTGCAGTCGAACCTGGTGTCCGTGTCGTCCCGGCATTTGTCCGCCGCTTCTCGACTTCCCTTGCGCGTTTGTCCAGTAGCTCTGTTAGATCCTGTTCTCTTTGTCCAGTACGGTCCGAGACTTGAACGATAGCAGCACCGCGGTCCAGCTCAAACTCATCACCAGGCTCAAGGTCCCCACCTTCTTGCCAATGAGCATCGCCTATGAAGTGGTTGCGATCATCATACACCATGACTCGCTTGTTGAACGTGTGATATTTGAGCACTCCATCTTGCCATCTTTTTTGCTTTCTCTTCAGGTCGTGTGTAAAGAGACAAATGAAATCCACCACGAGGGCAGTCGTAGGTACTGAGGAAGAAGTCATGCTTGGTGAAAGGCTAGGTATGACCTCTCGAGCTCATAAAACAACAACTCTTTCAACATTTCGGTGTCATAAAGATCGTTCAAATGTGCTGCAGCACATGAAGTACACCAAAAGACAAGGGTTTCACTAACACGAGATGGACAAACGAAACGCGTAGAGTTAAATTGAATTGGCTCGAACGACAGGCAAACGCGACGCCAAATCACGTGCTGACTCACCCCACCGCTCCTGCTGCCTGGAGTGTCGCCTACCCTGTGCACTTTGGCTTGTCAATCTCACGCAGAACCTAAGAACAGAAACAGGTGCAGCATTTGCATGCAAGTCCAAGCCCAATCTCACTTGTGTATTGTTGTGACAATAGGGCTTTTTGACAGGAAAAGGTCAATAAATACGTTTTTTTGTTCTGTTTTTGCATCACGTATTTGCGGGCTTTTGCATAATAGACTAACACAATATGTAAATGAGGTCGGAAAAGATATTTGCAATGGAGCTGGCATGGAACAGAAATAATTCAAAGGGAACAAGGTTACGATGGCACTGCCTCAATCTTTGCCTAAGGTAGTCTTATCGTCTGAGGTGCTTGCTGCATCGAAAAGTACTATCATCTCCTCTGCTACGGGTCACTTTAACTTCGGAACAGCACATTACTCATCTGCGGAGATGGGTGGCCCGGTGGTCACCATTTAGTCCTTACAAATGAAATGTATTCTATGGGTATCATGCCTCAACACGTACGGTATCAAATTGTACCAGATGCAGCTAAATAACACGCTGAATGCCACCTAGGAGGAATATCAGGCCACTGATGGGCTCATCTCCAACCAACGCCCTTTGTCAAGTGAAAAATACAAGTCCAGCCAGTTTCGATGCAAGAACCATGCTCAATCTGTATGCATATGCCACTCTATCTCAATATCCCAACACAGTAACTGGTAAGAGAAAGAAATTTGTGAAATGCTGCCGTATATTTAGCGACTCATGTAGTCATCAGCGCCAACTTTCTCAAGTTCCATGGGGGTGACAGGGCCAGGACTTCCTATGGGGAGGAGTCTGGGTGACAAGGGCTTCTGAAAGCCGGGAGTAGCAAAGCGAGAGTCTCGGAAGGGAAGGTCAATGAGCGACAATCCAGGGTTGTCGCCAGACTTGGCCGAGCTACTGATGAATTCACTTGCAGCCATACTTGTTTGTGTGACCATATCGCGTTTATACTGTTGCAACTTGCGACGAAGCTCGATATCTTGTTGCGACAGGCTGCTTGCAAGGGGGACTGCACTGGAATCGGATCCAACGTTGGAGGACACGCTTCCAGACAAGGGAGGTCGCAGATTTGATTGGGTGCCATTTCTACTTTCGTAGTTGGATGGGTAGTATTTGCCCATGGGGACAGGGTGGTCATGGAAGCCTGGAGCAAGGTAGGAGGCGACGGGAGTGTTTGAGTGAGACATGACTGCACTTTGAGCTGGATGAGAAGTGGGAGGGTCCGCGTAAATTGGCCCAGATTCAGAGATGAGACGACTCATGCGAGTGTCGGGATGATGCTGGAAAGGGTGTGGCCGATGGACACGACTGTTGGGATCCTCGTGAAGTGGGAAGTAACCTCTGCAACGGTGTTAGTCCACGTGGTGAAGATGAATGGAATGGAATTGAATTAAGAGAACGTGGGAAATGGATGTCTTACCCAGGAAGGTCACCTCTTGCTGATAAGGGCTCGGGAGGCGTGCGTGCGGGAGCGGAAGTGAAACGTCTGATTTGAGGTAGATCGATAGCTATAGGTCGAACGTGGCTGCGGGTGCGCGGGGTTGAGGGAGCAGATGGAGGAGCAGATGGAGTGCCAGGAGCAGACTTCTCGTTGTCGTCTAATAAAGAGGGGACATATGTAAGTAAAAAGGAAGTCCAGTAGGAAGAATAAGGTTCGACGATGACCGAATGCGTAGTGACCAAGGGAGGGTCGATGACAACAAGATTGAAAACAGGATAATTGAGGAATAGCACGGGATATAAGAACATTTTAAAGCAAAAGCCGGTAGTGCACTTCACTTCAGGGCCCGGCCAGTCCAGGCGTCACTCAACGGCCAACCCGGGATCGTTGATGGGGGCCGCTAGACTACCCCGCGATGGCTGGGAAGTGAGTGTGGGGAGAGCAACGAGTAGCGCGATAAAGCATGGCCACGATCCCGGTGCATGAGACATTTGGACTCGGAAATGATTGAGAAGAGGTGGAGAAGGGGCAGATGATGTGAGGGGAAAAGGAAAAGATGAGCGAAATAAAGTGAGGAGAATTGTGGAAATTGGGGAGCGTGACAAGACAAGCAGATCAAAGAGCAACGACTCAAGCGATATTGAAGATGGATAAGCTTGAGAAGCCAATATGGCATTCTCGAAAACGGGGGGTGCGGGAGCCTCCCGAGACCTCAATCCCGCCCCGCGCGCTTTGAGCCAGTCAGTCGCTGGATGCATCATTGGTTAGGATGCTCCAATGACCAACTTGAGTAGCGTTGATAGGCACAATTATTGATGCATTGCGCTGTGGGACAGGGACAGCGGCGTGGAGGCGGCTCTTACATGATTCGACCTCTTCAGGACGAACGCCCCTTTTCTTTACACAGCATCGCATCTATTCGTTGTACACACTTTTTTTTGGTGGTGCACAACTAGAGCTTATGCCATGTGTCAGGGTCTCTTGGGTTCGTTGAGGGGAACTTGTGGCGCCGAACCAAGTCTGAGCAGGAGAACGTGTCTCGCCTCGGAGCTTTTTGCACGACGCGATGCGATGCCAACAACCGGGTTGAGCACCGCCCGTCTCCGTCCGGGATCGTCGGCCGGAGGATAGCCCCGACGTCCGGCCGCAAGAAGGTTGAGATCACTCACTTGAGGCCAGGTGATGGAAGATCATGGAGAGGGAGGTGGGGATGGATGGGCAATCAGGGGTCAAACAACTTGATATTGGATATGCATTCCAAGCATTGCGTATGTACAATGTCAATAACAATGCTAACTTAACTTACCTGAGAAGTAGGAAGTACGAGGTTCAATGTCATCTAGGTCAAAGAATCCGTCTTGTAGTTCATTTGGTTTTCTGGATGGAATCGCTGGGGTGTTTCGTCCAGACAGGTCGAATTCGCCGATGATTTCACCTGATCGTGGGCTTTGAGGAGGGTTGTCTTGGGCTTGGGCTTGGGCTGGGGCATGTGCTTGTGCTTGTGCTTGTGCTTGTGCTGGTGCTGGGGCTTGTTCGGAATTCGTAGACATGGATCGCCCCGGCATGGAAGGTCGAAGTCGGGGCGATAAGTAAGGAGATCTGATGGTTCTGGCAAAACTGGCCATAACGTCGTTGCAGTCGTGATTCAATGTCTGAGGTTTGAGTCTTTGGTCTCTTGGGGAATAGCTATTCGCCTGACTGAGTACCCAGCCCGAGTCTTGAATCAAGCGCCAACGTCGCTGCATAAGTAGGTATATATGGAGGATTGAGAAGAACCAGGAGATCGAGTGGACGGGAACGAAGGAATAAATGAATGAATAAATGCGCGCTCACGGGAGGGCGGCGGTAGTCGGGAAGCTTTGATGATGAACAATGAGGGGCAGGCAGGTCGTGTCGGTGTCGCAAATAACGGGCGGCCAAGAGAAGATAATAAGAGTACAATAGAGTGACTTTTTCGAGTATGAATGTATTGGACGGAATGCCACGGAGGACGAATAATAAGAAGTGAGGCGAATGAATAAGGTACCTAGGCAGGTAGCTAGCTGTAACTCAAGAATGTGATGGCGGCGTCAAGATGTAATGTTAAAAGGCAAACACACAACACAACACAACATGACACTGCAGAGTAGTAGTATGTAAGCAAAGCAAACGCAACGCACAGCAGCACGGTACAGTGCAGTACAGGAGAGCACAGTAAGGTATAGTAGGTAAGGAAGTAAGATGAGTGAAGTGTATGCCTATTTGGGCGAGAAATGAAGGGTTCCCTCAGAAATGAAGATCGAAGGGTTCCGAAACGGTTTTGTTATCGCAAGCGAGACAGACACACTCTTACTCTTCCATGGATGGATGGATCCAATGTCAGAATTGATCTTGCCGCTCCCGTTCCATCCTGGTTCTTTCCAACGCCTCCCAACCCCCAAAAAGTGGGAGTTCCAACAAATCAGCTCCCGAGTACCTACCTCAAGCGAGGAACATCGGGACGTGAGCCAGAAGCCAGAGAAGCCCAAGATCCAGGGCAAGACGAGGTTTAGTGGATCGCTTCCCTTCCACCACGTACAGTACCTACGGACGGTGACCCTCTGCAGCGGGTTTCCCTATGTTTCCGATGCTGGAACCCGCTACGAGGTACCCGTTCTGGAAATGTGACATGGAACCACGAGTTTGGCAGGTATCCCGCTAGGACTTTTGAGGCACATTCTGCTGGGGTGACCCTTGATTTGTACCTGGTAGCATGCGCCGTCACCGTACAGAATGCCAAGGAAATACATGCGGGACGACCCCTGTGAGCCACTCAAAAGTCACCAACGCAAACAAAGAAACCAAGCACAGCGTTTGCTTTGGTTTTTATTTTTTGCTGTGCCCTCCCGTCCGCCGTCCATCCATGCATGGCCAGACAGACTCTGATGGTTTGCAGAGACGAATTAGAACTCGCGGTCAACGTCCTGGACGCAGCAACTAACGAATTAGTCCCTGAGATTTGCTGTAGGGACCCTTTGAAAACGAGACCCCTCCTTGGTTTGTTTTTGGTCAATGACGCCGGTTTGAACGGTGTATTTATCCGACTCCGCGAATATTTCTCTTCCAAGTCTTGCAAGACAGTCAGTCACTCTTTGTGTGGAGAGACAATTTTGCATGTATGTAATAAGTATGGAGTATGTACCATAGTATTGTGTACCTACCTGCAAGGTCAATAATACGTGGTCAATATTATATTCAGGAACTTATAATCGCATTTGCTCACAATTCCCATCATGGGTAGGTACCCGTTCGCAATCTTAGACCCTCGTATCACTCACTACAACTTGCTCACTCACAACCACCATCAACTGTTAAAAAAGGATGGTATCAATGAGACATTTGAGCATTTGACCACTCGTATTCAATGTCAAATGTCGTAGAATATTCCCACGTGCATTTTCTTATCGCCTAACTTACCGCCCCTCCAGGCTACGATCAACACTCACATCACCACCACCAACGCTGCCCAATATCTCCGCTGGTACAGTATCAACAAAGAGCACAAGAGATCAACAGATCCTTGCACCAAAAACAAACGGACTTTCAGAAGCGGCCCCCACTTGAAGCTTCCATCAGGCATCTGATCGACGTCATGGCAAGAGAGTAGCTTGGCTTGGCCCGCTCACAAGCGCCGCTTGCTTTCGCCCGTGAGTCGAAAATAATCCTAATCCCCTTGAGGGTCAGGGTCAAGACAAAGGTCAGAGCGAGAGACGCAGCCAGTCAAACGCCGGACCCTTGAGAAAAAAGGGCAAAGACCCCTTCTACCCTTCTCCCTCTGAGGAAAAGTCCGTCATCGTCACATCACCCTTCGGAAGTTGGAGGCGAGCCTGTCCACGATCGACGATCGACGCTCGCCCCTCTTTGCTCTCTCTCTTTTCTGCTTTAGGTCCTGGTCAAACTGGTGCAACATCCTTCTCCGTGGTGGTGCCATATTGTCGCTCTTCAGGGTACTACGAAAGGGTATCTCGGATATCACTCTGTCTTGGCGTAAACGGTGGTTCGGCAAGCTGCATTTTCTTGGCTTTGTGTTGCCAATGCCAATGCCCGTGGTGATTTCACAGCATGAATACTACAGTGACTGCCCGTTGACTGTCCATTGGTTAAGCAAGTTTCACTCATGCTGGCGGCCATTGGTAGATCTAGCCACCCATCTCACAAGCCATGTTGCACGCCGTACGGGAGGCTGCCGTAGATGGTTGCACTAATAAGTGTGATATTCTCGATTCAGTTTGATAGCGATAAATTTTGAGTTCGGTGCAGATATTAGTGTTTCAGGAACAAGCAGTCTTTGTCGAAAAAGGAAAAGCAAGGAAACACAGAAGAAAACCATGGTATCAAAGTCGTGCCAACATCTCATCGCATCTCGTCCATTCCCATCGCAGCATACAGACACACAAGACACGCGCACACGCGCGCACACACACAAACAGCCCGACCTGCAGGCCTCCTTTCCCATTACCATTGCCGAATATCTCCGTCGCGAGTTGCATTTGTGTATCCCATATGCAACCATCCTCAACATGTCCGTCTCTTTCTGAGGGGGTTTGATGCGCCCGTTTGTGTCTCATCAGACATGAGCGCGGCCAGTAAAGCGGGATCGATTGTCACGGTGCTTCCACCAGTAGCCCAGGGCCGCCAAGGTAGCAATGAGCCAGAGCAGGGCGCTGGCGAGATCGACCCAGACCGCGTTCTTCATGCGTTTGACACCACCGTCACCCTCGGCGTCCTCATTGATGTACATCTGCAGGTTTCACAAATGTCAGCCAAACGATGCCGCCGATCATTTGCAGTAAGCACTTGACGGATGACAGAACGTACCTTGCCAAAGACGCCAAAGAGGGCGATCCAGAGGACGAATAGAATGAAGTCCCATATCGCGACAACAAAGCCGGCGACTCGTAGTACAAACGGGATAAAGTAGAGTACACACGTCACGGCAGAGATGCTACCAACAACCACGGCGTAGACCTGTGCATTGAACTTTTGTCAGCACTGTATTGTACGGCATTGTATTGCATTGCATGGCATGGCAACAAATGTGCATTTGCACGTTGACGAACGGAGGGGGCAAGTCACTCACCCACTTAGAATCAGAGTATTTGCCCTGCTTGTTCGCATTATGAAGGTCGGTACCATACAAACCGATAGTGGTCAGAGCCAGTGCGAATAGGAACAAGTGGATAGTGGAAAACACCACGTAGCTGATAGCTAGATCCTTGATACCCATGGTCGCTTTGCTTGCTTTGGTTTGCTTTGGTTTGCTTTGGTCTGTGTCGGCAATTCGAACTGGATTTCGCAAGGGGGTGGGTATTACGAGAAAAGATTGGCGAGAAGAGGCTATCGTCGGTCGGAGCGGGTCAGTGATTAATTGATCGCAGACTCGGACGCGAAAGAAAGAGGATCGCGGGTTTATTAGGATGAGTCAAGAAAATGAGCTGGTCACTGGAGCGTCACTTTGACTGGGCGTGCAAAATTGTCAAGCTTGGCGAAAACTCGCTCGTTTGTAGGGTAGACCGCCAGTTAATTAATAGCAAAGGGAAGCCTCTGCCGTCATTCCTGCGACCTAAGAAGCGAGATCGACCTAAAACTCAACAGAACCTAATTTCACCCTTGGAAATTGTCGTGATTCACTAATATGGCTCTATGACGTAGGTGCCTGGTTCAAAGCAAGCTTGTTTTAGTCGCTGCAGGACCCCTGACTCTGACATCTAGACCCTGAGTCTCTGTTCCAGAGGCTTCGGATTATCGAACCTCCGTTTTTAGATGCCGCCTTGTGATCCCTTCAATCAAGGAAGAGAAAGTCATGGAGAGCTGAAAATTGTTAGCGGATGAGTTGTTAAAGCTTATCAGTTTAGCGGGTAATTTCCAACCTTGAGTTTGGGTCTTTTTCCAAAGTTCCAACGTCGACGTCAACACTTCCAACAGTTCTAATTCTCATCTTACATCACTATCACGACCGCCCTACAATATGTCGCCCCGTAAACAAAAGCGGAATTCGGTCTGTGGTTCAGGAATGTGCATCGTTGAAAATGCAAATGTTTTAGATCAGGTGTTCTCGAGAAACTAGTGCTGATAAAAGAAGAGTTCTCGAAGTCTTGAGGTCATCATATTTGATTGAGGCTTACCAAGTTAATGGGCCAAGTTAATGGCGCGCATGACAATTTCAAGCGTGACTTTTTGAGATTCACATAATGAGATAAGTGGGAAGTTAACTCGGACTTGAAAATCACATGTTTCGTAAGAATGGCATGTGAGTTTACCACGCTAGTCTCTATGAGAAGTCCAATGTTGTTGATGCGATTTTGGGAAGTCGGTGAGAAACACGAGAGACGAGAGGGTGAGGTTGATTGGACAAGCTTCAACTCCAACAATCTCACTCATGACAAGAATGTCTCCACTGTAGGCGAATATAAACATTGTTGCCTGAGTCAATCGAATAAGCTTATTACCTTGATAGTTCGAGGCTATGCTAAAGTTATCGGCAAATTGTTCTGACCATGATGAGTTCAATGTGAAAGTTGAAAGTGCTGTTTGAGAATAGGGTAGGGTAGGGTAGGCTTGCTTCACCCAAAACCCCGGATTCATACAGGAACGTGTGTAGCATCATCGTTCTTGGCTGCAGATGCTTCGAGTAATGCGGCGTTCACGGCAAACGCTAAAGCTAATAACGAGGATCAGAGAAACAGAAGTGCGAGGGAAGATACGATGTTGAAATGCTCATATTGGCATTACCTATAATTTATCTCTCCAACTCTCGCTTCTGAGGAGTTGGAGACGGGACTAATAAACTCATGCCTAAAACAGCGAACAAAATTAGACGTCATTGGTTAGAAAGCCACATGGTCGGCAGGGAACAGGTCTGGGGCGGTGTTTGTTTCAATTGACTCAGCCTACCAGCCAACCAGCCAATTCGCTGACTCACTCACATTTTGAGCCGCACAGAGCCTCAACATTGAATTGAGTGAACCTGTTCCTCTGCAGGCAGGGTTCGTGAATGCGAGGCGAATTAGGGTGACAGAACGAATTAAATGCCGTATTGCTCCCTATAATCTTGCCTACCTAGCTGTAGCTGCATGCTGTTGGGGCACAGTCTAGTTTCCAGCATCGCCTCGCATACGAGACGAGACTCCATCCTAAGCAAGACTCCTGACTGATTCATAGTCGTTGCCTTGATCTAACAAACAAATCAAGTGTTTCGAATTCGCGAAGAACAATGAGCCTAAAGCTTCCAGAAACAGGGCTATGCTCAATCACCCGAAGTAGCCCCCTGAGGTATCCCCCCTTTCATCCTGTCTCTTTCGCTTCTCAGCCAAACAATGACCATTGCAAACTTGCTTCGTAGTCCCACTAACGAGATGGAAACTCGCTTTTCAAGCAGATAATCATCGCAGCTATAGCCCAAATGGTGGCACTGCTATCGCCTCGAACTTGAATCCTTGTTATTCACTGACTTGGACTTCATCTCGTGTGATTTGTGCCAAATACAATGGACTTGTTGCTAGCTAGAGCTCGTAACTTACAGGATTCTCAGTCAAGCACGCCTTTGATTGAACAGTCAACATTTTCCTATATAATAGACATCTGCATATCTCTGATCATGGTACATACACTTCATCACTCACCAAGAC